ATTATGTGTGTATTGAAAGGCTATTTTTTAAAATTCTTTTATTAGTTGCTCAAAACATTACAATGATCTTGACATATCATACTTGAAAGGCTATTTTTTAAAAGCAAACATTTATTTTTTTAAAATTTAAAGCTCCCTTATGCTAAGGGACCAACAGTCACCCAGATGTGCACAAATGTGTGATTTTTCATGTTCTCTGATCTCTATAGCTTTTAGGTGATTGACATTTTGATTAGTGCAGTGATTAGTAATGACTTGGTAATAAGTCAGCATTTTATTTCTTACTGTGATTAACAAGCATTAGAATATGAATGAAATAGACTTTTCTTTCTGTGCCAAAGGCCCATGAACATTGCTTTGTAAGATTTCCCATTTGCCTTCTACCTCACAGTGTGGTGTGGTATATAGTGCAGTGTAGACCCTGTAGTATTTCCAGTGAGGCTAATGGCTAAACTATTAGCCTTTATGTTTACTGTGCCTAAATTTTCCCAGGGTCAAAACACCTATCAACAAAGCAGCTTTAGGGCTGGGGTTGTGGTTCAGTGGTAGAGCACTTGCCTAGCATGTGTGAGGTACTAGGTTCGATCCTTAGCATCACATATAAATAAATAAAAATAAAGGCCCATTAACAACTAAACAAAATTTWAAAAAAATAAAGCAGCTTTATGTTCTGGAAGTCTCCCCTCCTCTGGTCACAGAACCAGGAAGTATTTTCCCTGACATGTTCAATAACATTGGTGATATTTTGTGTGTCTAGGACCCTACAGTTTCAAAATAACTTTTAGCTATTGTCTTATGTGATTCTTACAACAGCCCTGGGAGGAAGGTAAAAGTAGGTTCTGTAATCCCCTTTTTACAGATGAGGAAACAGGCCAGGCTCAGGTGGCAGAATTGTGCCTAAATCCAAGTTTTCTTTTTCCTAGTTTTTGATCAAAAACTGTTCTCTGGGATCCTTTGTTGTAGAAGCTAGAACCTATTCTAACACAGGACCCTCTTCCTTGGGTAGAAGCACCTCCTTTTTCTACATACAACACCCCCACACCACTCTTGGCCAACCACCTTCTCACTCTCATCCAACCAGAAGCAGCAGCTATAAGGAAATGAAGGGGCCCCCCTCACCTTCTCCCGAAGCTTCCGTTCCTTCCACTCCTGCACCGTGGTCAGGTAGTTGACYGCTGCATACTCCAGCACCGAGAGGAACACAAACACAAAGCTGACCCAGAGGTAGATGTCCACCGCCTTGATGTAGGACACGCGGGGCATGGAGGCGTTCACGCCCGTGATGATGGTGGACATGGTCAGCACCGTCGTGATGCCTGCAACACCCAGACCCRTCAGCTGGCACAAGGCTCAGAGCTTCAGAGTCACAGTTTTACATTCTCTGACTCTTAGATGGAATGAGAAATTCCCTGGACATGTTTTTACCTTGTGGGGGTGGGATGATCTGCTCCCCAAGCAGCCAGGCACCCCAACCCCTTCCCCAGCACACCTCCACCCAGCCCCTTCTCCAAGTCCCCTCCACTAGCTTGGGAGAGTGGGTTTCTATGACACAGCTGACAAGGTCAGAAGTGATTAGGAAAGGACCTATTCTGCTGTGGAACTGACAACAATGACTGGAGGACACTTTTAAAGGAACTTTCCCAACCCTGAAAGAATGGGCATACTCTCCCTCATCTGAGTCCATTTATTAAGCCCAACTGTGGAAATGCTTGGAAGCCTACCATGCTAGTTTTTTCTCCATTGTGCTTTGCTGGTTAAACCCTCCCATTCCTCAGGGTCCAACCTGATTTTGCCCACACTGGGATGATGGRTTGTAAACTCTGACTGTGGAATTTAGGGTCTGGGAAGGGGTACAACCAAGGTCCCAGGAATGCAGCTCTTCCTTTTCCCTAAATCATATGATATGATCCCTGCCTCAAAGCCCTATCTAAACAAGACCAGCAAAAGAAACTTTTGTATTTATAGAATAACTTTGGCATTTGCAGAATCATTTTATTCATCTGAATATTGAGCTCCAAAACAGCCAGTTGTGGAAGTCTATCCCCAGACAGGCTATATCCTTCTGAATTGGTGCAACCCAAGTTGATATAGTTCTAGCTCCCTGTGGTTTTCAAAATGTTGTAGAGGAAACGGAGGCTTCATCTAAGAGGCAGGTGGAATGGTTGCTTCTTCTGATTCCAAGAGGTAAAAACCTCTGAATTGGTTTTAAAACCTCTGAATATGGTTTTACTTTTCCTTTGCCTAGTGATCTTAAAAAAAAAAAAAAAATAGCCACCCAACCACACCGTATCAAATGCTTTTACCTAGTGAAACTCTGGCGGGCACAGCTTTGTGGTCAATCCAGAAGGACACCCAGGACAGCATGACCATCAGGGTGGCAGGGAAATAGGTTTGGAGCAGGAAGAAGAAGATGTGTCGATGCAACGTGAAGTTAATGTACAGTCGGTTGTACCAGCCTGGGGAATACAGAAGTCAGTGAGATTTTGAGTACTTTCCTTTCCACAATCTAAGCCCTTTCTCCTATGAATAAGATCTTGACAATATTATCTAACTTCATAGCTGTTTGGAGAAAGGTAGAGCAAAACAGATATGTGTTAGTTGTTGGTTTGGTATGTGTTATTTGCAGACCACAACCTTATTTGCTGAGTGATTGGCTGCTCAGGAGCATGAGAAGTTGGAGTGGTTCTATACCACCAAGGCAGGAGCCAGAACAGCTGGGTGCTCATCACTGTCCTCTTTATTGAGAGATGAGTCATTCGTTCCACCCCTTCACAAGAAGAAATAGGCCACCAGTTCTACAGTCTGACATGAGTTCTACTCCTGACATCCATCCTCCTTATGGAAACCTGTTACCTCATGGGCCATTGCTCAGAAAAAAAAAATGGCAGCATGCATCTATTTCATTATGGAAATATGAGAATCACTGATTCATGGTTTTAAAAAGTGATTGACATTGTTAGACTTCAAATGACCCATAGTTACTGAGACCCAAAGTGGGGCGAAGGACAGTGTGAATGTGAAAGCTGTCTGCACACCTTCATCTGYCTTCTGGTTCAGTCCAGCCTCCTCCAAGAACACCACAACTCACTGGTGTCCCAAAGTGGAGTACACATAACAGCAGAACAAGATGACTTGTGAAGTTCAGAAGAAGGTTTGTGTTCATTATTAAAATCATCTTCTGTTATCACAGATGATACCAGWTTTCCACTGATTTCTTTTCAAAATAAGGTACAAAAGATGACTTATAGAAAAAAATTAAATCCATGACCACATGCGTAACCTACCAAGTAAGACAAACATGGCAGGAGTGCTATGCAAGTTTGCTGAGGTCTGGGAAACCCAGATTGAATCTGTCTTATTTGGGACKTGGGGAGATGAGACTCTCAGAGGCTTCTCCAAGAATTCAACCTGAATTTTGGATGAGCTTGGGTCAATTGAGTTATCTACAGGTCGGGCTCTTCTCACACAGTGTCCCTTTACTTGAGCAGGTGGTCACATGCTGGGGCCTGAGGGGCGATCATAGAAGCCCAGCTCTTGCTTTCTTCCCTCAAGGATTTAAAAAGAATTGAGTGGAGGTCCCATGAAATGGAAATGCTCGCTGACATACTCAAGGTATGCCACCATGCATATCTAAGTGCTAAAATGTCCATCTGAAGTATAAACAGGAAAATCTTTAGGTTTTGAGACACAGAGCCCAAGTTGCCCATTGGCTATAATGACTAAGGAAGGCTTATAGAGGAGTTGAGTGCACACGGGATACGTCAGCAAGGAGGAGAGATTCAGAGACAGAGTGAGCAATATGGACTCAGGACTGTGACTTAACTTGGCTGCTCTTAAGGTTGATAGCATTCCTATCCTTGACCTTTCCCGGAGAGGTTCTGATTTAGTCCATCTGGCTCAAGTGGAAGTTAGCAGAGTCAGGGTAGGTTGGGGGGGTGTCCACAGGACCAGGCTGGAGCCATCGGGTGAGTCCTGACAAGTTTGCCACCTGGATATGGGTAGATTCCTGAGTTGTTGAATGGGATAGGTGCTTTTAGGGGAATAAATAAATAGGAAGGGATCTTCAACTCTAGTGAGACAACTAATCATTTTTTCATCTAACAGCTTTTGTTCAATCTTGTTGGCTTTATTTTCCCTACTCAAATTGACATCTTTGAAGTAAATCACATTGATCCTTAGGTTTGCACAGGACCTTTTAAAGGACCAATAGATGCTTTTATTTTTATTAGACTATTAATTCTCATTATCCTCCCCTCTAAGAAAATCAGAACGAGCTTTCCAGAAAACATAGGGAAGGATCCAGAAGCTTTGAACATGTATATTCTGTGTGGCAAGCAGAGTGCTCCAGGGTGGCATCACCACTCCCATGGCAAGGAACACAAGACCTTGCTTGTATGGTACGTGGTGAATAATGGGAGTGAAGATGCATTTTAATCTTTACTCTAGAAAGACTTGAATGGGGAACAAAACAGACAAGCATGCTATTCCAGTCAAGAGAATATCTAAGAGGAGTACACATGGGAATTAAGGAGATTACATGGCCACTTACCAGCTGTGCAACTTCAACCAGTAGCTTAATCCCTGAGTCTCAGTTTTTTCATCTGCAAACTGGAAGTGATAATATCTACACCACAAATTTGCTGGGTAGAAATAAATTAATTAACATGAAGGGCTTAAAACAGTGGCATATAATAGGAGTTATATAAGAAACTCTCAATAATGGCTTTGTTGATTTGAACTTGGTGAGAACAATGAGAAAAGAAAATTGTGTGGCACACATAATCAGAGTGAAAGTGGAGAGATGGAAGAGGATGAGTGCCGTGGCCATCATCAAGCAGACCTGAGTTGCCCTGACACCAAAACAATCTTTTGCAATGTTTGATGCTATGAACCCAAGGGTGTTGTGGAGGCAGATGCTGGCCAGCAGGAGCAGGAAGTCATGCTAAAACCTCCTGAAGAAGGGATTAGATTTCTCAGTGCTGGGACAAAAGGGAAATGATGTGAAAAGGCTGCTGGGGTCCCAAAGCCACTAGGGAACTATTATAGGTTGAATTGTGTTCCCTAAAAAAAAAATGTTGAAATTTCTAGATACAGATGACCATCCAAATTGAACCAAGAGATATAGAAAACCTAAACAGACAATAACAAGCAATAAGACAGAAGCAGTCATTAAAATCCAGGACCAGATGGATTCTCAGATGAATTATGTCAGACTTTTAAAGACAAATTAATGTTAATGATCCTCAAATTATTCCATGAAATAGAAAGGGATAGAACACCTCCAGATACATTCATAAAGTCAATATCACCTTCATAACCAAACCAGATAAGGACATATCAAGGAAACAAAACTGCAGACCAATATCCCTGATGAATTTAAGTGCAAAAATCCCTAATAAAATATTAGCAATCTGCATTCAAAAACACATTGTACATTACAATCAATTTGATTTCATTCCAGGAATGCAAGATTGGTTCAATAAATGCAATTCATCACAAAAATAGAATTAAGGACAAAAACTACATGTTTATCTCAATAGATACAGAAAAAGTCTTGGACAAAATTTAACACCCATTCATGTTACATACAAACACTGAAGAGACTAGGGATAGAAGGATCTTATCTCATCATCAYAAATACTATGACAAGCCCAAAGCCAACACCATACTGAAAGAATGGGGAAAAGATTAAAGAATTTCCTCCCAAATCAGGAGCAAGATTCTCATTTCACTCTTACTACTGCTATTTTGAGGTATGTGGGTTAGAGGCATGGGGATTGTACCCAGGGCATTTAACCACTGACTCACATCCCCAGACCTGTTTGTTTTCTACTTTGAGACAGGGTCTCTCTGAGTTGCTTAGGGCCTCCCTAAGTTGCTAAGGCTGGTTTTGAACTTGCAATCCTCGGCCTCCCAAGCCATTGGGATTACAGGTGTGTACCACTGTGCTGGGCTCACCATGGCTATTTTTTATATAGTTCTTGAAGTTCTATATAGAGCAATCAGGCAAGAGAAAGAAATAAAAGGATATGAATAGGAAAAGAAGAAGTCAAATTATCACTGTTTGCAGATGATATGATCCTGTACTTAGAAGACTCAAAAAACTTCACTAAAAGTCTTTTTGTCTTGATAAATAAATTCAGAAAAGTAGTAGGGCATAAGACCAACATATAAAAATCAATAGCTTTCCACTACACCAATAACTAACCTAATGAAAAAAAGTTAGGCAAACAATTCCTTTCACAATCGTCTCAAAACAAAAGAAAACAAAACCTGGAAATCAATCTAACCAAGGAGGTAAGAGAGCTCTACAATGAAAATTATAGAACACYGAAGAAAGAAATTGAAGAAGATATTAAAAGATGAGGAAACATCCTATATTCGTGGATAGGCAGTATTACTATTATTAAAATGGCCATATTACCRAAAGCAACCTACAGATTCAAATACACTCTCCATTAAAGTTCCAATGACATTCTTCATAGAACTGGAAAAAGTAATCCTAAAATTCATATGGAAGAATGAAATATCCAGAATAGCCAAAGAAATCCTGAGTAATAAGAACAAGGCTGGAGGCATCACAATACTTGTCCTCAAATTGTATTACAATAGTAATAAAAAGAGCATGATACAAAGCCCAATGGAATAGGACAGAGTAGAAGACAGAGAGATAAACCCACGCAGATATGATCATCTCATCTTTGACAAAGGTGCTAAAAACTTAAGGTGGAAAAAAGAAAGACTTTCTAACAAATGGTGCCGGGAAAACTGGATAACTACTTAGAGAAGAAGTAAACTATTTATCACCCCACACAAAACTCAACTCAAAGTGGATGAAAGACCTAGGAGGTAAATCAGAAACTGTGCAACTGATAAAAGAAAACATAGGGTCAACACTCCAATACAGGTGCAGGCATTGACTTCTGTAATAAGACTTATAAAGTGCAAGAAATAAAACCCAGAATAAATAAGTGGGATGGCAGCAAATTTTAAAAGCTTCTCCATAGCAAAAGAAACAATAACATGAAAAGAGCCTACAAAATAGAAGAGATCTTTGCTGGTTACTCTATGACAGAGGATTAATATCCAGAATATACAAAGAACTTAAAATTTAACACACACACCCACTCAAACTAATCAATAAATGGACAAATGAATTAAACAGACATTTCTCAAAACAGAAATGCAAATGGCCATTAAATACATGAAAAAATGTGCAATATCATTAATAGGGAAATGAAAATCAAAACTACATGAGATGTCATCTCAAAACAGTTAGAATCACAGTCATCAAGAATATAAAAAATAATAAATGCCAGCAAGAATATGGAGAGAAAGAAACAATTAATGGTGGGACTGTAAATTAGTACTACTGTGAAGATCATTGTGGAGATTCCTCAAGGGACTAGAATGGGATCACCATATGATCCGGCTACTTTACTCCTTATTATTTATCCAAAGACCTGAAATCAGCATAGGACCATGATACGTGTGTACCAATGTTTATAGCAGCACAATTCACAATAGCCAGGTTATGGAACCAGCTTAAGTGTCTGTTGACAGATACATGGGTAAAGAAAATATGGTACATCTACACATTGTAGTTCTACTCAGCTAGACAGAAGAATGAAATTTTGTCATTTATAGGTAAATGGATGAACTGGAGAACATCATGCTAAGTGCTCAGAAAGTCAAGGGTTGAGGGAGCCTGAGTGGTGTGAAGAGAAAGAGGCGAGAACGACCTCTGGATCAACCAAAGCTGCACTCTGCTGCATCCCTGTGTCCAGTACCTGTGTCCTGCGACCATCACCATCATGCCCAATATCACTATGCTGAAGGGTATGCCAAAGGAGATAAAGCCAAGTGAAGGACGAACCACAGAGAAGATCCACAAGGTTGTCTGCTAAACCTGCTCCTCCAAAGCCAGAGCCCAAGCCTAAAAAGGCTCTTGCAAAGAAGGGAGAGAAGGTATCCAAAGGGAAAAGGGAAAACCTGATGATGACAAAAATGGGAATAACCCTGCAGAAAATGGAGATGCCCAAACACACCAGGCACCGAAAGCTAACGGTGCCATTGCTGCCAAAGGAAGTGTCTGCATTTTTGATAACTGGGTCCTTCTGGTGACTGTACAGTTTGAAATACTATTTTTATCAAGTTTTATAAAAATGCAGAATTTTGTTTTACTTTATTTTTTAAAAAGCTATGTTGTTAGCACACAGAACACCTCATTGTTGTTTGGGAGGGAAGGAGCATATGTCACTAGTAGAATGTCTCCAAAGCTGGATTCCTGTGGGGAACACCTTTCCCTGCCATTTTGAGAGACTTTCTCTTGGCTCCCAAGAGAAGGGACTTCCTGATATTGGCACACATAGCCACCKTGGCACAAACGCCTCGCGGTATGGAAAAACTGAAATTCATCTTTATGTCCTCCTCTCCCTCTCCACCAACAGCATAGACTTAATGTCCCTAAACTCAGACAAGTTAGGACCTGACTCCCAACAATTTATTTTACCAGTGTGTCAGGCAATCTGGACTTTCCAGTGACATCATTGAGATAGTGTTCCTCAGAAAAGCAGTAGTTCCTTTTTTAGATTGTGGACCTTAAGACTGATAATTCTGTCATTTTCTGAAAGTCAGGGTTAACTCATGAAAAGTTGTTAAACCACATGATAAACGTGAAATGTCAACACTCACTCTAAACTTTCCCTATTCAGAGCATCAAGTGAAGACTTAATAGGGCTTTATAGTAGCTTTCTAATTTTGGTGTCCATCCAAGAAGGGAATTTGAAAGTTGTTGTATACTGTTAATGATTGTCTGCCTGAAATACTATGGCTGTTTATGAAAATTATCTTTAATAAAGCTGGATACAGTTTGGATTAGAAAAAAAAAAGAAAGTCAAGGATTGAATGTTTTCCCTCACATGTGGAAGATATAGAGAAGCCTAGAATTTTACAAAGGTGTGATCTCATGAAAATAGAATGAAGATTAGTAGAGGAAGGATAGTGGATCAAGGGGGATGGAGGAAGGAAGGGAAAAGGGGAAGAACTAGGGAATAAAATCAATCACCTTATGTTATATGCTTGCATGAATATACAACAACAAATCCCACTTTAATGAGTAATTATAATGCATTAATGAAAAAATATATACATATACTTGGAAATAAATAAAAAGAAGACCAGAAGAGAAAATGAAGGGACAGGCAGAAGGGGCAAGGAGAGGAAAAGGGGAAGTACTGAGGAGTGAATTAAAGCAAATTATGTTATGTGCATATGAATGTCACAATGAGCTCCACTGATACATATAATTATAATGCACTAATAAAAACATTAAGAAGGGACCTCAGGAAAATAGAAAAGAGACCAGTTGAGCTGAGGAAAGTGTTTGGGGGAGTAAGGAGGGGAGGGAAAGGGGAAATACTGAGGAATGAAATTGATGTAATTATGCTATGGGCCAGTACAAATATGTCACAATGAATCTCATTATTATGTGTAATCATAATGCACCAATAAAAATATAAGATCATAAAAATTCTTTAAAGTACATTATTACTCTGTCTCTTCACCAGACTCACATGATATGGCAATAAACTTACAATATTAACCTGCAAAAGAAATTTTTTTWAAATTATATGTATATATATGGAATTTCTAATTCCCAGTACCTGTGAAGGTGACCTCCTGACCTCATTTTGATATAGGGTCTTTGCAGATAGAATTGAGGTAAAATGAGATTATAATGGATTAAGTTAGGCCCTAATCCAATAGCTGGTCTCCTTACAGAAGAGGGAAATTTGGGCCTACACACACAGAGGACACCTGGTGAGTATACAGAGATAAGGGGGCGCCACGTGATGGCGGAGGTAGAGAATGAAGTGTGGCTACAAACCAGGGAATGTCAAGAACTGCTGGCAACCACCAGAAGCTGGGCATAGGCAGAAAGGATTTTTTCCTAGACAAGAACAGCAACAGATAAATTCCTATTGTTTCAAGCATCCAATTATGGTGCTYCATTACAACGGTCCCAATAAAGTAACCCAAGAGTTAAATGTGAGATCAGAGAAGAGCTGACAAGTAGTTCTCTTAAACTTTCAAACATAGCCCAGGATCCAAGAAGAAATTAAACATTAAAAAATGTTTCATTGGAGCTGGGGCTGTAGCTTAGTGGTAGAGTGTTTGTCTAGCATGTATGAGGCCTGGGGTTCAATTGCCAGTACTGCAAAAAAGAAAAAAGAATCAACAGTCTTGATATGGATAATAACTATATGTGCTTGGAAAGCTATCTGCCCATCTTACTAAGTAGGATCACAAATCAGGTTATAGAATAGCATGTAGAATAGGACCCTGCCCTTGTTAAATTACACAGGTAAAACTGGAAGTCTTGAAGGATAAGTTGTGTTGTTACTGCTGATGGAGTCTAAGAATATAGCAATTTTGTTTTATTCTCTGTCTCCTGATTTTAAACACAGTTTATATTTTAGAACTATGGATTCTCTCAAAAATCAAAATTTATTTTCACTGAGGAGATAAAAAATTCTAATGAGTTTTCTTTCACATTTGAATCAGGCTGTGACAAAAAGGTAGCTACCGGTGCTGCTGTAGAAGGCCAGTCTGGAAGTTGTGTGAAATTTCTGAATCAGAAACTGAGACAAGGAGATTTTCTCATCTGTTTTCAGGGATTCATCCCCATTCTTCCAATACAGCATCAGATCTTCATCTGTATATGCATCTTTGGGGAGAAGAAAATAAATTAAATCGGATGCCTTTGTTTCTGGGTGGTGTGCAGCAATAGAGTAGTCCTGCACCTGCCWGGGCAAACAGTTCTTATCACTGGCAGGCAGTGCACAGATTGGGTAGGGAATAAGGTATGGAATAGAAAACATTGATACTTACAGCTCTCCAGCTCCAAAGARCAGGTCTGGGAGTCCAGGGGAAAGTGGCTGAAGTCCATGTTGCACATGGCAGTGACAGTAATCCTGCACAACCCAGATATGACAGTTGACTTGGGCAGCAAGCTATTGGCTCATGCACCCACCCAAAGTAAGGAAGACACAGAACATGACCAAGAGCAGCTGCCTCCTTGTGTTTATTTCAGAAGTTTGGTTACATAGATGTCTAACTTAAAAAACCTTAACTTCYAGAGTTTGGTCTTCTCTGACAGGTGTTATTAGTGCTCTGCTGGATCCCCTTTATTGGGCTGCTGCACCCCTTCTCTAGCCAAGAGGAGGGGTGTTGACTACTAGTGGCCCACACCTGCACCCTTCTCTGGGCACTGCCCTCAACCAGCAGGGATGCCTACCCCAGAGGAGCCTGGGAGATTAGCATGCTCCCTCCTTCACCCAAGACCAGGAAGTATCTAGTTTTATTATTTAATTCTGGTGAACTATAAAATCAGGCAAGTAAGATATGGAAAAAGATGGGTTAGTTAATCCAGAAGCCAATCTATAATGGCACTCAACAAACAATAGTTTTTGCTATTATTAGTATTTTATTATTTATTACCAATCAATTAGAATAGTACACTCTCAAGGATGGAATGTATGTAGGTCATTGTCTCCAACAACTCAATTAGACCAGAGTAGTTTTCTAAGCCATGCTTAAGACCCCCAGTGATATGGAGGTCTCCACCTACTGGGTGGCCTTTTCATCTTTGGACAATTCTGACTGGCATCRGAAGGCTCATGCCATCCCACAGATCACAGCGACAAACTCTTCCAGGCCAAAGGAACTGATCATACATAGTGGAATGGCACTGGACAAGAAACCATGGCCCCATGGACACTTGCCTCATGCTGTACAGCACATGACCATCTGGGAACACCCTCAGCATGATGTTGTCAGTGGTRGTGTCGTGAATGAATGACCTTTTGGAGTGAACAAAGAACACATCTGGGACCCAGATCTTCTTCACCAGCCGTCCATCAAAGGTCATGCTCTTGTTGCTGGTGCTGGGGAAGGCCAGCCTCTCATCCTTCCAGTAATGCCGCAGGTACAGGGTCATGGTGAAGTCCTATGGGAGCCAGGGGCAAGACCAGACTGAAATGGTTCAGAGAGCTTCCTTCCTTAGAATTCYGTTGTTCTCCACTGTATCAGCTTCCAGAGTCGGGGGGACAGTTCCACAGCCCTGGGCACCATAGCCAATGTGATTGATGGTGCTGCTGCAGATGAGAAGGGCTCATTTTTGTGCCTCATAAAGTTGGAGCCCAGGAGACAGAGCAACCCACAAAGGAAAATTACAGCTATGATGCTGTCATCCTGTCCTGCTGGCCAGGAGCAGGAATTTCCTCCAAAGCTCGGTTCTCACTCACTAGACCCTGAGTACATGGCTTTTAACCTATCTGGCTAACCAGTTCATTTTGGCATGGTGGCCTGTTTCAGAAACCTAAACAGTCAAGGGTTCCTCTTAGAAAGATTTCTACCATTAGATTTCTCCCATCATTGAAGGCAAAATTGTGTCCTGACTATCACTGAATCCCTGTTCATCATTAGATGTAATGTCTGGAAAAGCATATGTTAGGTACTCAATAAATATTTGTTAGATGGAAAAATGGGAAGGTGAATGGATGAGGACACAGGCAACTGCACACCTACTATAATTTCAATTCTAAAGCTTATCCTGTTAAAAATTGTCTCCTTGGGCTGGGGATGGAAGTCAGTCATAGAGCAGTTGCCTAGCATATGCTGGGCCCTGACTTTTGATTCCCATCACTATAAAAATAAAAATAAAGTATCCCCTTGTCTGTATAATTGATGGTCAAACCCAAGAGTTTGGTTCTTATACCATGGCCAGAGATAGGTCACGATGCAAATGGAAGCAAGTGGACGAGGGATAGAGAAGAGAGTGAATGATGGTGGGCCAAGAAGAAGCCCTAGGAAGGGAAGAAAGAAAGAACAGGCACAGAGATTGGGCTTACGTGAAAGTCTGTTCCTAGACTGACCATCACTTGCCACAAATTCTTCTTTCATACATGAAGAAACAGCCAATTATGTAAGGAGGAGATGTGAGCCAAATGTCCCTTCTGGGTCCCACAGCTAGAGACCATGCTCTGAGGGACATTGCTCAGGGGGAGTGCCATATTGTAAATTCACAAACATGTGCAAGGCCAGCTTGGACAGTACCTACCTACCATTTTCTTTGTGGTGGAGCAACTGGTGGATTGTTCTAAGACAAGCAAGTAAGTCATTTTGGACACTTCTCTCTGAGGTCCTCAGTCACACTTTCATAAGAGCCTTCACATCCAGAGTGGACATTGGTACTGATTCAGATTTAAAGCAGCCAGGCTGGGCCCAAACCCAAATGGTTCTGGAGCTGAACCTAACTGTTGGATATCCAAAGGATTTGGCAGTGTGCACTGTAGCATCTTGGAGACTGTCACATTCATACCTTTCACACCTGGATACCCTCCTTTCCAGATGCTGGAGCTATGAGGGTGCACAGCATGAGTATCATATCAGCCTTGCTGTGCTGGGTCCAATAATAGCCAGGGAAGGGATGGGGAGTAGTGGTAGAGCACATGCTCAGCAAGTGCAAGGCCCTCAGTTTGATCCCCAGCACCAGTAAACAAACAAACAAACAAAAAGGGAGCCAGGGAAGCCTCCTCCCTTCATGGATATATGAGGAAACCCTCCCTCACTTTCTTTCCTTCCATACATGTGTTGAGAGCCTCCATAGGGCCCACAGTGGGCTAGGCTTGGAGATATGGGGGCAAAAAACTGAAAGACAAGTTCCTGTACTTGTGGAGCCTAGAGTCAAATATAGGGGATGACCWATAAACATGACATCTCCCCCAAAATAAATTGATAGCACAGTTTAAATGAATGATGTGAGCTAGAGGGAAAAACAGGAAACTTTTAGACCAGGTGGTCAGGGAAGCCCTTTAGAAGAAGCCTTATCTCAACTGAGACCTAAAGGATAAAGAGATGCCTGAGAGAGCCAGAGGGAGAATGTGCATGAGGAAAGAAGTAGTTTGCAAACTAGAAATGCAGAATGGAAAAGAGTTTATAAGGTCRGACACTGAAGGGAAGGCTCCTCTCCAAACCAAGGTCTTGCAAACAGCTGGGAGGTGTCTGTATGGGGTTAGTCAAGAAATACAGTGGAGGGCATTTCTGTGGAGTGCGTGGGGAAGCTGTACACACAGCAGGAACTGAAAATCTAAGAACTACAGCCTTTCAATCAAAATGGGTCATCTGACCACTCTCAGCATTTGAGAAGTGTATTCAAAAAGCAAAGTCCTGGGCCTCAACCCAGAGATTCTGAAACCAGGGAGTATGTAGTGGGGCCCAGAAACTATAAGCTATTTCTACCCATAAAGCTCKAGAGACTTTACTGCATCTAGGCCAATGCCCAAGCCCACATTTGGTCACTTCCAGCTCCTGCCCTGCCCTCTCAGGCACAGCCTGCAACATCAAAGCTACCAACCCACAGGCTCTCACAGTAACTCAGCTATGGACCCCTCCCTCGGGGCTACTGGCCCAGGATATTGCATACCATGTCCACTTCAGAGATGCTGTCCAGACTCTCCACCTGCACGTCCACACCCACTGGGATGGCAGGGCCTGCAGAAGAGCAGAGAGAGCTGGTTAAGGCACACTACTGGTGGGAGACAGCTCCCACCCACCTCCCCAGGGAGCCAGGACTGCAAAAGTAATGAGGCAGTGGTTCAGAATCCCCTGTGGATTTTCKTGCTAGTTCCAGGTATGATAGAGGCTGAGCTTTCTCCACTGAGGCCTGGGACTGTGTCTGCTTTAGGTGCCTTTCTTGGTCCAAGCTTGGTGTTTAATTTATGCTTGTTGGATGAATCAATGAGCTGAATCACTACCTCCTGTATCCTAGGGATGTCTCTATGGAGTGAAGGTAATAAAACAGCTCTAGTGTCTGAGTGGAGACCCTGGTCATTTGTCCTCCTGTAAAAATCCAAGAAGGATAGAACAAGTCCTGAGAGCCTCTGACCTGAGTTTGGTTTATCTATGTGCTGGGATTTGGATTCATTCAACTACTGAAATTCTACCTACAGAGAATCTAGCAAGTAGTTGAAGTTCTGCCTTCTGGAAACTTTCAATCTAAAGTGAGATAAGGTCTCTATGCAAAGTTAAATCACAGGGAAAGACAATAATCTACGTGATTCTGAAATCTTTTCAGGTGAGATAACATAGCACCTAAATGAATATTCAATTTTATCTGGATCCTGGAAGGATTTCTAAATCCATAAATCTATGGATTTATCTATGAGGTCCTGTCCTTTTAGTTGAGCTGGATGATGGGCACGTTGGTAAATTCACTTTGTGACAGTTTAGTGAGTTGTACACTTATAATTTGAGTATTCTTCCTTATGTCTGTTATGCTTCAGTAAAGTGTTTTTGGTTTTTTTTAGATCTTAACATTTAAAAATTTAGATTTAAAAAAAACCTCAAAACCTGTGTCTGTCAAAACATATGAACAAATGTCATTATAGTCACAGTCAAAAACATATTCCTGGAAAGAGTCAGTGGCAGCTTGTGGGAGAGGCTTTTGGAGAGAGGAAATTGTCTGGCAGCCAGTCCAGCTGCACCCAGGACCTTGAGCCCTGACCAGGAAGTGCAGGAATAGGACATTTTGACCTGAGCTGCTGTGATCTGAGCCCAGAAAACCTTAGGGAGCAGGGGAGTCTGGGTCTCAGGGAACRAGAAGAATTGGAAGGGACTTCAACTGAGGCCAGGGAAAGAGATCAGAGATACTGACAAAGTAAGATTTAGAAGGTTCATTCCTCAATTCCAGCCCAAATGCAAGAAGTAGCCCAGGGCATTGGATGGGCTCAYTGACYCTCTCCTAATCCCACCAGACCCCATAGGTTTGCTAATATTTCAAAAAACCACTATTAAAATTTGGGATTTTGATTGAGGCTGATGGAATGGAAAAGTATTTCAGTTATTACTATGGGATTGAGAGAATATTTTCTGTGATCTTAAACATGAAAGCACATGAGTGCATTGCTTTGTTCTCTATTTTTCTTTTTCCTTCTCATATAAATCTGAATGTAAACTGATCTTTCTAGTTTACCATGTTCCTCAATTTATGGTTTAGGTCAGGGTCCATGAGAAAGCCCTATTCCAATAGCCATGTTCTCTACTTATTCCAGGCTGCAGGGGTGCTTTGAAAGTTCCAGAAGTGGAATGGTAAGGGTGGGAGGAGCCCCTCCTCAGGGCCAACCAGCCGGCACCCACTCTATCCCCCAGGAGGAGGGATACTTACAACTGGAGGCCAGCCTGACACCTGGACCCTCTTCCCCAGTATTCAGATCTCCACTCACTGCTGAAGTTCCCAACATTGCCATCAGAGGACAGGGGCTGGTTAATTACCTCGTCTTCTGATCCTTCCTCAGTCTGAGATATTAAAACACCACTGTGCTCTGTGCAAAGTGTGCTACACTCTCTATCTGGTCTCCTTTACCCTCTCATTCCCTTCCTCTGGAGTGCCAGGTGACCTGTTACATAGTTCCAAGAGCCAAAGGGAAGAAACAGGATAGCAATTGCCTTCTTTGGATAAACTTTCAGTGATCTGGTTTTCAGATAATGTGCACAGTGTTTGACCAGGAGCTGTTTGGCTCAGGGCATTTTCCAGATAAAATACATCAGCACACACACTGACTCTTCCTGTGCCTCTCTGTCTCAGGACCTAGCTYGCTCCCACACCTCCAGTTGCCCTTTTATGAAGAAGTTTGGCAAAACCTCTCGGGAAGATTTCAGTGTTCTCAAGATAACGCCCACATGGAGCAGGTCAAGATCTCATGTGCCCTGGGTTGTTGTAGGCAAACCACCTTAGACCATGTGTATTCAGGAGACTTGAGAACTGCTTTGAGTTTAATCTTCATAAGAATTTAGAAAAAGATACCAATGTCGCTGCCCTCCATGATTTAAGCTTTGCCTCTAACCCATACAACAGCTGGGATTGTCTGAGTTTTCCACTTTGTGGCCCTTCCCAGCCTACTTTGGGAATAGAGTCTTCTGAATTAATGGTTTTTCTTCTTCCATTAACAATTTTATGTTTTGAATTGGGCTGAGTCCTTTCAGAAGGAAAGTAGTCTAATTAAACTAGGTGTTCATGACTTGGTCACTTAGCACTGTTATGGGTTTTTGTTGTGTTKTTTTTTTTTTTTAAGTTGGGTTCTAATGAGCCAATTTGAAGTCCGTGGGATTTCAGGTAGGATAACCAAAGAGGTGGCAAATTCAAGGCAGCATAAGGGAAATGCATAATTAGCAAAGGGCTCTCCTCAGTTCCATTCTTTCCCACCATTATTTTCTTCTCATGATCCTAGAAAGCACTGTTAGGACTCAACTTGTGAATGAATATTTATGTCATTGACTCTTCAAGAATCTACATGAAATAGAATTTTCAGGTAAACTAAAGTGAAAATTTGCCAACAGGCATCCTACCCCAAATGAAGGTGTCTTTCAAGAAGAAGGCATGTGATCTGAAGGGGAAAGCTAGACATGTGAGAAGGAATTWAAAAAACAACACAAATAGTAAATACATGCAAAATTCTAAAAGAACATCAATTATGCAAAACATTACTGATAATTTATTGTGCGATGGAAAAGCCTGAACTAAAATACATTACAAAAATAGCTTTTAGGGCTGGGGATGTGGCTCAAGCGGTAGTGCGCTCGCCTGGCATGCGTACGGCCCGGGTTCGATCCTCAGCACCACATACCAACAGAGATGTTGTGTCCGCCGAGAACTAAAAAATAAATATCAAAAATGGCTTTTAAGCAGACAAGGGCATAAATGGCCTAAGAGTGTTCTGAGGTCTTTGCATTGTCCAGAACAGTAGAAGCAGCTGATTAACATACAAATGTGATAAGCCAAGGACTCTTCATTCTGTTTTCAGGAGAACCACCAGGTAATGGTAAGAGTTTGTACCTTCTAAACAAAAATCGGAATAATAATAATAATAAAATGACCAGTCAAAAAGGAAAAAAGGCAGAGAGAAAAAAAAATGAATATAGAGTTGGTTAGATAGTAGAAAGGACAGAGTAGAATAAAAATTTATTATATATTGTGCTATAAAGCAATTTCAACAAATTTCAAAGCACTAGAATTTATATAAGGTGTTATCTCAACATTCATTAGAAAATTAAAACATAGTGAGCTTTCAGGAGCCAATCTGGAAATACACACCCTTAAGTCCTGAGAAAGAGATACTGAACAATTATCGCACCCCGGAATGATTTGGACTTTAGCTCCATTCGGATAATGAGGTGTGGCTCCAGAAGTAAGCGTTACCCAGTGGGGTTGAGTTACACTCACCTGTTCCTTTGTAATCCTACCCCTTGCCTCATTTAATAGCTTCTCCCCAATAAAACCGGGTTCAAGGCATGCTCCTTTTCTTGCCTGCTTTGTCTCCTTTTTGGGAGCTGGGTCAGAAGAGCAATCACAGAACCCAAAGGAAAAGGTATTTCTCTGTGTGTCATTATTTCGTGAGTGTGTGTGTGTGTGTGTGTGTGTGTATTTTTTTCCATACATTTGGGAATTAAGAAATATACTTTTGGGGCTGGGGATGTGGCTCAAGTGGTAGCGCGCTAGCCTGGCATGCACTTGGCTGGGTTTGATCCTCAGCACCACATAAAAATAAAATAAAGATGTTGTGTCCACCGAAAAACTAAAAATAAATATTAAAAAATTCTCTCTCTCTTAAAAAAAGAGAAATATACTTTTGAAATACCCATGGGTCAATGAAGAAATCATAATACAAACTAGAAAATTTTAGCTAAATTATTTTTTAAAAAAACATACTAAAATTCATGGGATGTAGGCTAAGTATTTCTTACACAGAAATTTATATCCTTAACTGAGAATATCATAAAAGAAGAAATGATTCGATTTAACAAACTAATCACCCTTCATAAGAAGTTAGGAAAAGAATAGCAAATTAAAGTAGATGGCAGGAAATTATAAAGATAGAATAATAAGCACTGAAATAGAAATAAATATACAACTAAGAGGATTGATAAAGCCAAGTATTGGTTCTGTGAAAGAATAGATAAAATTCTGATAAGATCAATCTTCCAAGAAAGAAGAAAAGCAAAAATAGCCAGTGTAGGGAATAAAAAGGACATCACTGTGCAGAAGCCATAAAAAAAGACAAAAAGAGGTTATTCTAGACAAGTTTTTCTCAACACTCTTCAAAATGTGGATGATATGGACAAATTCCCAGAAACATACAACCTGTCAATCGACATCAATAAGAAGCCAAATGTAAAAACCTGCAAAGTCCTACAACTATTTTAAAAATTGAGTCTATAATTAAAAATTTCAAAGTAAACAACAGGGCCAGATGACTGTTTTGCACASGGACCCTAAAGTGAAGGTAGATAGGCCCTTGTGCAAGATTTAGAAAACTTTGAAACATGAAAAGAAACTAAAGAAAACTTAAATAAGTGGAGAATACATCAAGTTCATGGACTATGAGGCAAAGAGCAATGATATAAATTAAAATTCAGACTGCCTAGCAAGGCCTGGGGTTGTAGCTCAGTAGTAGAGCACTTGCCTAGATTTGTGAGGCACTGGGTTCAATTCTCAG